GTTGATTTGTTCACATTTGCACATCTTACTTTTTTAAGAGAAATGTGTTTTTTGAGTTTGTACACTATATGCATATAAATCAACCATTTCCTTTTTCAGTGTTTTCGTGTGGTGCATTTTTCTCTGTTTTAACAAACGGAGAACAAAGGACTTTTAAGTCGACCTAAGATGATTTGTTTTAATTTTTACATGGTCTTACTGAGGTAATGCAAATTGAAACATGCATTCTTTTTTTTTGGTAATGTGCTGGAAAAGCTTGAAAATGGACCTTGAAAGTGCATAAAAATTACTTAAATTTGAAAAATGCGTATGAACCCTGCATACGGTACATTTACCTCACAGGTTTTTGCTGTTTCTGTTTATTAAAACCAAGAATCTTGTTTTTGCCAGGTTGATCATGTAGATAAGAGTGGCCAGTGTGCTCTGGTCCATGCTGCCCTACGAGGACACCTTGAGATTATCCAGTACCTGCTGGAGCTAGAATGGAGTGCTGAGGGGCAGCAGCAGGACTGCTCTCTGAAGAGCAAAGCTCTGCAGCAGGCTTTGATTGCAGCCTCGAGCATGGGGCACACACAGGTCTGACTGACACACATGCATATATTTTACCAGATCCATAGACACAAATGCCCTTTTTTTGTACTGTTTCTCGCTACAAAAGAAATGTATTTGAAAGAAAACATGGGCGTACAAAAAACATACGTTAAACCACACAGGATCCTGGTTTTTCCAGTTTTAATAGTGAGACAAAACCTTTTCTTTCTTTCATGGTTTCACAACAGCCTTCACAAAAAATTTCTGATTTATTTTTTTTTAAAGATCAGAAGGAACTACGGATATATAAAATAACAATGAGCACACAGTGTTCTCTGTGAATATTACTCAAAGCCAGAAGTACTGTTCAGAATTGCATGTAGATTCACAATCGATAACAGTGCAGCGCCTTGAGCTGCCCCGGTGAGGCGTAGACTCAAGGTTTAGTTTGGTTCCCTCGTTAGCTGGAATTGGCTCCCAAGGCCTGGATTAGAATAACATAACTGGGCCAAGTTAAGTCAACCTGCATGCAGAAAAGACCCTTTTAAAGTTCAACTATTTGAACCCGCGTTTTTGTTAATGTTTTTTAAGATTAGCATTTTGTATACTGTAACCTCTCAAAGGTTTATTTGATTTGTTTTTTTTCTGCTGAAACAGCATGTCATTAATCTAAGTTTCTTTTTTGGCAGGTTGTGAGAGGCTTGCTGGCGTTGAATAATGAGCACGCTGTGCAAATTGATAGTCATGACACACTGTGGGGAGAGACAGGTATGTTCTCATCAATCTTTTTGCATTACACGGCTCTTTTGTACTATCACCAGCTGTTTTTGCATTCTGAACCACACTGCTGTAATTGAATGCTGCAGTGGAAAGTACTGTATCTGTGCTCTCCACAGCAATGCTCTCTGTTTGATGCAGAGGTCGCTCAACCCAAATATGGGTGCATTTTAATGGCTGTTGTAAGTCCTCCTGTGCTGTACTTTCTGGTAAAAGCATTACTTACTCTTGTCGTGTAGCTTTCTGCTTGGAATTCAGTCCACACAGTATTTTCTCTCTTTTTAGAAAAATTGTCCCACTGAATTTTAGGAACAGTATTCCCTCGGTGCTTTATGTTAAAGCAACAGCTTCGACTCCACGGTTGGTTTTATACGCTGCTAGTCCCACTCGGATTTAGAATGAGTAGTAGTTCCTGTTTTGTTTTTCCTGAAAGTATTATTTTGGACTTTTTAAAAGTTTGTCCTTCCCTCTGTGGGACAGTTTGTTTTCATTTTAAAGTGATTGAGGAGTTAAAGCAAAAAGCCATGTGGTGCTGCAGGAAATGGCATGAAGTCGGAAAAGCAGAAGGTGGCTGTCAGATTTAAGACGGGTTACTTGAAGGTTGTCTGACAGAAATGATACAGCAGACTGCAAGGCTGCATTGGCCGGAAAGCGTTCATGCATCATAATTTTTAGCCATTAAAGCATTACTACTTTGTCTCTAATGCAGTATTTTAACGGTACCTCATTACTTTTGCTGAACCTAGTAATAGCATTAGAGTGAGTACTTAATCATGTTATTACTTGTGTTCCATGAGTCTTCAATCTGAATAATGGCAGGGAAAAAAATCTTAGTGTCCTTAGTGTTTGACTTTTTTCGAATATCTATAATCTGTGATGGAGAAGGATTTATGTACTACATAAGTTTTCTATTTTATGTCACAGTGCAGAGATCCAGATGTTCAATACAGATGGTTAAAAAGCACAGCTATGCTTTATTTTTCATTGATCCTAGTAATACTTGTGATGCATTATGTAAGAATGAGACACATGTGGTGTTAGAGCTTCAATATTCCTCACAATCATTAGTGCAGGTTGTGTTAAAACATTGCTGCAGTCATAGTAGAATATGTATAAAGAAGAATTCTCTTTGTGTGCGTCTCAACTCTAACCCAGCAGGATTTAGCATTCAAAGTTGGCTGCTTTAAGAATGTAGGTCAGCTTCTTAGTGGAGAGGTTGTCCAAAGTGTGGCTAACTGCTGCGTGTTCTCTGTTAAATGACTGCTCGACTTTGGATGATTTTGCAGTGCTGGCCTGGGACAAAGATCTTTCCCTCTGAAATATAGATTAGATCTGCTTGGAGCAAAGTAAAATCCAATAGTACATGTGGCTTTCCGATATTTGACTCTCAGCTCTTTTTTAACAAAGTGGATGTTTAATCATTGCTATCACCTCACCTCTTCCTTCTAAAGTAATAGCATAGTGGGTCACAGGTGGCAGTAGTCAGAGCTGTGGCTCCGCTGACCTGAAACACAGTGAGTCTTAATCCCTTGACATGACCTTGAATTAACATATTTTTGCACCCACCTGGCACTCATTAAAAATGTGGTCCTGGCTCATCTGTATTCAAGGGGATTAAATCAGTAAACAACAGTAAACACAGTTATGACCACAATGTAGATTTGTCTGCACTCAGTCATGCTTGGGGGGAAAAAATGAATAAAAAAAGCTGGAATTTTGCTGCAGACATAAATTGAATATTTAGTGGTGGAGTGGCTGCACTGTCTAGAAATGACTAGATACAAACACCAGAAATTATTAGCGATGAAGCAATATTTGAAATCCCTTTGCTGCTATTCAGCTGCAGGTTTATTAATCCAATTGTTGTGCTGTGATGCAGAGAAGATCGAAAGCGAAAAATACAATTCCGAAATATCCCCTTGAAAACCAGCCTTTTGTCGTTGCCTCAGAAACGCTCCTCTCATAACGATGTGTGAAATGTTATAGCGTGTTTAAAATTCATCGGAGTATTACATCTCACTGCAAATAGACCTGCTGTCTCTTGTGTTTAAATAGAAGAAGATTTGTTTGTACATCTGTGCAAACTCTATCTTTTAAAGTCCCCTCTTAGGATGCAATACACCTCCCTGTTATGCAGAGAAAGGCAATTTACCTGCAAAGAGTCATTCTAGTTGTTGTAAGCAGGACTGGCTTGTGGCAAAGAGCCACAGCATTGTTGTTTTGCATAAAAGCAATTTTTGTTGCATATTTTGGTCTTTTTCTATAATTGCAAATGAAGTAGATACTACCGTTTATTTGGGAAGTGAACCTCCAGTTCCTTGCGTGAAAATCCTGCAAGATCCTTTCATCCACCATGATGTTGTCCCTATGTCGACTTTATTTAAATACTTTTTTTGTCTAGCACAAGCTTTAGTATTTTGTGGTCTTAGTCCCTGAATTGCAAAGATCAAACAGCAGGATTCTTGACCCCAGAGGAAGATGTTGTAGGGGAAAAGCGACCAGGACAATATCAGTTATCCAAGAATCAGGAAGTTTGGTTTACTTAAAGAAATACAGCCAGGAATTAAGCTACACTTTCAAGCTCGGTCTTCATGAAGAAATTGTAATCATTTGAGTAAAGTGAATTAATTTTCATGTTCAAGAATTTGAAAATAATTGAGCTTTGTGACACAGCATGTCATCCTGCTGGAAGCACTGTGATCATAAAGGGATGGTCAGCAGCAATACTCATGTTTGCTGTGTTGTTACTCATGTACGGTGGGTTGGGTCTCACCATTACACCACCAGCAGCTTAAACTGTTGATACAAGAATGGATGCATTCTTGTTGTTTATGCCGAATTGTGACCCTGTCATCTGAACGTTGCAGCAGAACCAATTTTAGTGAGAATCTTGAACCTCGGTTTCCTGTTCTGCTGGCACACAGTGTGGTCTTCTGCTGCTGTAGCCCATCTGCTTCAAGGTTTGACACGGTGTGTGTTTAAAGATGCTCTTCTGCATACCTTGGTTTTAAGGGGTGGTTATTTGAGTTGCAGCTGCCTTCCTATTAGCTTGAAGCAGAAGTGCATCAGCAGTGTCCAGTTTGAACTTCAGCAGGTCAATTGACCACATCTGTATGCCTAAATGGATCGAGTTGTCATGTGATTGACAGATTAGACATGTGCATTAACAAGCTGTTGAACAGGCAAAACCAAGTAATAATTGTTCAAAACCATTGTCTGGATTGTCTTTCATCACTTTCCTGCAACCATGTTTTTTTCTTAAATTGACAGTCTGTCAGTTTTTTTTAATGAAACTCTGAACAGTTCTTGTTCTGAAACTATTACAGGCACAAGCATGGACAAACTGAAATATTCCTTACCGTGGTTAAAAAGGCATTTGGCATTGTTTTGAGAAGCTTTTTTCTTTTTTCTTTTTTTTTATCTGCAAAGCTTAGCTTAAAATGTCAGGTCACGACCTCTCTGTTGTTGGTGTGTCATGAGCTCCACCAGCCTGGTTGCAGAATAGGGCCATTATACGTTTACCTAGTCTATCAAAGTGATTTAAAGACACTTTGAAGGTGGCTTGTAGGTGGTCTGCACGAATAGGAAGAGGAGAGGTGAAATGCAGGAGAGCTGAGATGAATAGCTTTCAAAACACAAGATAAGGAAGGATATCTTCGCAAGTCGCTCTAAAACAATAAAAGTTAGAAAAGGAGCTCCTTATTCTGTGAGTAGGATTGTTGATAATCTTCTGTAGAAGCTCTTACTTTGAAGGTTCGAATAAATACCCTCATCAATATATGGAAAGGTCTCTGAGGATGAAGAACTTCTGAGAATAACGTGTGAAAACATGAAGAGTGCAGCTCTTGAGCTGCTGATTATATGTTCATTGTAGGCCACTACCATCCCCACTCTGGCTAACGCCGCTCCCTTGAGAACAAGCACAGCCTAAGTTTAGTTCCTTAGAGTCATTGTTCTGCTCTGTGCCGTGTGAGAGGATATCCATATTTTGAGCAGATGGAGGCTGGGATTGGTTGGCTCTGATGACTGTTCATCCAGATGGATGATGTCAGAGAGACAAGAAGGCTTAGCGGCACCTTAAATCTTTGCGAGAGCAAAGCTGCTCCGATTCTTAACGTTGGATCCCTCTTTGTTTGGATAACCAGCACTCATTTAAGACCAGTCCATCTGCTGACAAACTGTAAGCATCCAACACTTGAAGAATCTCTTTTCTTTACAAGCACCAATTAATACAGCGTTTGAGTTCCTTTTCTTTAAAATTAATTGGCTAATTCCAGTTAATCTCGGTTTGAGGAAGATACAAAACGTAAACAAGAATGGGTATTTAACACAGTTGCTTGATTTTTCTTGTCTAATGTTTGTCTGCTGATGCATGAAATGACTGAATTCTCATCTCTTTGTACAAGGCCGGGGGAACTTGAGGCAGGAATTTAATGAGTTTAATAAGCATAAACATAATTATCTGATTTAAAGTCAATTAGTAGCACGCTGCAGCTTACACTTCTCGGCTGCTCCTTATTTTTCCCGAGATTCTGGAGTCACTGTTTCTATCTGAGCCGTACACATGACTTCAAGGGTACTAAAGACATTGGATGCCTCTTTATTAGCAGCGAACAACACTGTGTACTGGACACATTTTGTTCGCTTTCAAAGTGTTTTTTGTACGATATATTAATAAGTAAATGTGTCTGAAGAAGTGCCTATGTCCCCTTTCCTCACTTTAGCCTTGACGGCTGCAGCCGGCCGTGGCAAGATGGAGGTATGCAGCTTTCTGTTGGAGCAGGGGGCGGTGGTGCAGCAGGTCAACAGGCGGGGGGTGTCTCCTCTCTTCTGCGCGGTCAGACAGGGACACTGGCAGGTGAGAGCGGTTACAAATAACAACACTGCTTCCAACTACAGTTACACAGTGGCAGCTTTCTCCAAACGTGTGGCATTTGATTGCATTATGTGTCCTGTCCTCACAGTCTCCTGCTTTCTATAATAACGCTGCGTGTGAGCTCTGTATAGCTGAACCTTATTCGCCTGTGTGTTAGATTGCAGAGCTGCTGCTACAGAATGGTGCTGACATTAACATCAGTGACAAGCAGGGCAGGACCCTGCTCATGGTGGCCGCTTGTGAGGGTCACCTGAGTACTGTGGAGTTTCTGCTTTCTAAAGGTGAGCAGTGCACCAAAGCATCATATGCCAGTTAGCTAGTTGTAATCAACAGTGTGTTCATATGAAACAACTGTGGTTTTTTTCCATTGGTCTTAAAGGTGCATCTTTAACGTCGATGGACAAGGAGGGACTGACGCCCCTGAGCTGGGCATGTTTAAAAGGACATAAGAATGTGGTGCAGTTTTTGGTAGAGAAGGGTGCGGTCATCGACCACACGGACAAAAACGGACGAACTCCACTGGACCTCGCTGCCTTCTATGGAGACGCAGAGATTGTGAGTGAAATTGTTTTAAATTTGCTGAAACACACACACGCCCTCCAATATCCTCAGAGACACAAAAACACCACACGCCCCAATCTTTATTTAGTCTTAATTAACATTCCACTAAGGTTATTGAAAACATACTGTTGTGAGTTAGCTGCACTCATGACTGTGGATGCATTGTTCATGTTTTCTTAACCATCTGTGGCCTCCTATAGGTCCAGTATTTGGTGGAAAGAGGAGCAGTGATAGAGCATGTGGACCACAGTGGGATGAGGCCTCTGGACCGGGCCATAGGTTGTAGGAACACGTCGGTGGTGGTGACTCTATTAAAGAAAGGAGCAAAGCTGGGTAAGAACTCTTAAAAAAATGCCTTGACTAAGGGTGAAACTGCTAAAAACTGTATTTTGTATATTTATTACCGACATGTCAAATTGAGACTAGTGAGTGAGGGAAACCAGTACCACACTCTTTGGACAGCTTTACGCCTGTGGTTTCTACAAAGTGCCCGCAGAGTACTGTCACATCTCAGTAAACATAGAAAGACAGAGTATTTTGTTACGTTTCTGCCCTCTTCTGTATCTCATGGTACTAAAAATACAATCAGACAAAATTTGTGGAACGTTGTGGAAAAACTGTTTCCATTCCTGCTTTTCACTCACTGTGTGCGTGCGTGTGTGTACCCTAACTATAAAGAGTATGTCGGTCCCATTTCTCCCTGATGAGCAGCTTGGCTAATTTAAGAATGTGACTTATCACCCAAATGACATTCATAAAGCTACATGTCTGCAGCTTATCTTCAGCGCACTCTGCTGTCTTAGAGAAAAAAAATAGAGCTGAACCTTTAAATTTTCCTCGCCGCAGTCAGCATGCATTTACTGATGGAAATGTGACATCATTTCAACTTAAGTGAGCCATAATTGTATATTGTCACACTGCACTTTGTAACACAATTTCCTTTCGCTTCAAATAACAACCCTTCCTGTCGCATGACCTCTCTTCTCTTCGCTCTCTCTTCCTCCTAACTGTTAACTGGCCTCAATAAACTTAAGGCTACAGAACGTCTCCTTATGATCGATCAGGTACAATCTTTAGGTAACTTTACCTTGTACCAAATTAAAGAGAATACGATGTCCGTCTGTTCAAGCTGAAAACGGCACCATGAATTGCCTTCTGCTTCCACAGGGAACGCTGCTTGGGCCATGGCTACTTCAAAGCCTGACATCCTCATCATCCTCCTTCAGAAGCTGATGGAGGAAGGAAACCTGCTTTACAAGGTATCTGAGATAGAAACTGATTCCCCTCGACAGTAAAGATGATTTTCCTGTTTTAATGAAATGCTTAAAAAAACACAGACATGGCTCCTCCGGTCTTTTTTATAAAAAGGAGTGGAGAAGGATGTTTTTCTTCTGCACAGTAATGTTCTTTTTTCTTGCTTAGATAAATGTAGACAATGAATCGATGTGCATGTTTCATAGCACTCAACAAAGGTGCCGTGATCGATGGCTGACATTTAACAGATTGAGTTTGCAGCAGAAAGGACAAACCTGTCATGTGTAACTTGTTAGTGTGTGTGTGTGTGTGCGTCTTATCTGAGCTTGTCTGTTTGTTGTATGTGTGATTGATGAGAAGGGAGGACTTGAGCCAGAGAACAGCTATTGTGGGAGTATCTGGTGGATGCCTTGGCCTGCTTCTCTCCCCTACATTTTTCCGCTTTTCCTTCTGGTTGTCTCCTGTTCCTCACCACGTGTTTGCCCTTCATGTGTCCTGCAGAAAGGGAAGATGAAAGAGGCAGCCCAGAGGTACCAGTACGCCCTGAGGAAGTTTCCCAGAGAAGGCTTCGGTGATGAACTGAAGGCATTTAAAGACCTGAGGGTCTCCCTGTACCTCAATCTCTCCCGCTGTCGCAGGAAAACCAATGTACGTCTCTCAAGAGACTTTGATTTCTTCTTCATTCATATTTATTTATGAATGCGTAATAATATTGTTATTGATATACTGTGCAAATGTTGTGAACCCTTAATCGATATTTCAATTTTGGGCTCAAATCAATGTAAAGATATCTGTGGGAGGTCAGGATATTTGTATTTGTAAAACACAGTGAAAGCTGGGTCGTGGTTTAGGGCTGGATTTCAGTCAGTATTTTCTTGTCACAACAAGTTTTCATCCACCATGTAAACCATGGCAGCACCCTGATTTTTTTTTTTAGCATGACAATGATCCCAAACAACTTACTAGTGCAGTAAAAGCATGCCTGGACAGAAAAAAAACACCCAGTGGAACTCAATCAGTCATGGATTGGCCTCCCCAGAGCCCAGACCTCAACAATACTGAAGCAGCGTGGGATCATCTTGACAGAGAATGGACCAAAAGTCAACCAACATCCAAAGAAGAGCTTTGAATGATCTTCAAGAAGCCTGGAAACTGCATTCTTCAACACAACTTGAACCTAAGAAGGTTCAGGCTGTGTCGAAGAATAAAGGAGGTCACACCAAATGTTGACTTCAATGCTTGTTTCTTTGTGTAGTTGCACATGTTTCAATCAATGTGCACATTTCTCTATTAAAATATTAAAAAAAAAATAAAAAATAAGGCCCCACTCCAGACCTTTGCACAGTATTGTATGTATATATTACTGTATAGAATGAAAGGAGGAAATCTGTGACTCTGCTGTGGTTTGAGTATGTGCAGACACAAGAAGGCTTGTTAGTGTTTAGCTGGTAACATGGGTGGTAGGGTGGGAGAAGGCTGCAGATGTGCTCGGTAGGTGACTCAGACCCAGACAGTTCTAATGTCAGCTTCTCTGCTCACTCATGTTTTACGGATATATTTATTTATTTATATATTTAAGCTGGGACGTGCATTTTGAAAATGCCATCAAAGAAAGCATCATGAAAATGTGAACATGTGAAAGGTTTTGGGTTATTTTCCCCCCAGATAATAGTTTCTGCAGATTCAGTTTTGTTTACAGTCCAAAGCCCAAGTCTAGCAGGAAGACGTTTGTAGTGAGCCAGCTGTTTGTGCAATTACATGCCGCAAGCAAGAAGATATGAGGGAAACAGGCGGCACAAGGTTGTGTGTTTTCTACAATAAACTCTAACTACCTGGGGTGCCTGCCAGGCATTTTATCACTTCACATGGGGAGTATAAAGTGTGAGAGAGATGTTGCGTGGATCGCAGTCAGCTGTCATATAGTGTTTGAAAATATTGTTTGTGTGTGTGATACAAAACAGACTTAGAAATGTGTGATGAGACAAAAAGGGGAAAAAATGCACTCAAAGCAAGAAAACGGTGACATAAAATGAAGTAAGTCACAGATGTTCTGTAACTAAGTAGTGTATACTGGTTTCCATTATCACTATAGCAAGAAGAGAATAACAACTGGTTCAAAATCATTTATCTGTTTTGTTTTTTTGCCTCGGCTGTAGGATTTTGGGATGGCTGAGGAGTTTGCAACAAAAGCACTGGAGCTGAAACCCAAATCCTATGAGGCCTACTATGCCCGTGCCAGAGCTAAAAGAAGCAGCAGGTAAGCGGTTCAGTAACTCCAGACCAGCGTTGTGTTGATGTTTTTATTTTATTTATGCCTCTGGTTACAATGCCTCTCTCCATTCACAGGCAGTTTACAGCAGCCTTAGCTGACTTACATGAAGCAGCCAAGCTGTGTCCCAATAACCGGGAAATCCGCCGTCTGCTGGCTCGAGTGGAGGACGAATGTAAACAGATGCAGCGAACTCAGACCAAAGGAGGCCTCGGTGGGGCTGCAGCTGCATCCAGCCAGGCATCAGGAGGCCATGAGTCTGACCAGGAGCAAGACGAAGGGCAGGACGACCCCTCAGAGCACAGCCTTGCTAGGAGTGTAGAAGGCCAAAGAGATATTCTTGAAGAGGAGGAAGAGGAGGATGCCGCCATGCAGCATGACAGGACAAGTGAAGCCTGCTGGTCCCAGAGCAGTTACTCTTTTAACAAAGTCTTACCCTCTGAGTCAGCGGCCGCCAGCATCAGTGTGGGACACCAGAATCAGAGTCTGAGCCCCAGCTCACCCCCAGGCCCCAGCAGGCTTCCTCCTCACAGGTACCCTCGTGAGCATCGGGATGCCCTGCCTCAACAGGGGCTGGTTCTGCAGCCAACCAAGCAAGCCCAAATTGTCAAGACCAATCAGCACATGAGTTCCATGCAGACCGGGGGAGGAGCCGTGGGGGGTCGCTCGGCAGGGCCCAAATCTCAGTACGCTCCCTCCAGTCCGTTACCCAGCCGACACATGTCCAGCATGCTGAAGCCGGGCCCAGGTATCGACATCGGCCCTCTGCCCCCCCCAGCTGACGAGCCCATGTATGGGAACCGCATGTTGCTGGCAGCTGCCTCCTCTTCCATAGGTCACAGTTGTGAAAGTGAGAGTCTCCACTCCTCTCAAGCCTCTTACTCATCCTGCAGCAACTCTAAAGGTCTGGGCCAAGACAGGCTGTCTGCCCACTCCGCATCGTCCTTGGATGGCTTGGCCTGCTCTGGTCCTGGATTCCAGGGGAATCACTCTGAGTCTGGAAAGGAAGGGATGTGTGCTGCAGCGGGATCCCAGGGAGGCGGCGGCGGCAGCAGCAGCATGCGTGTGTCTAGTTCCACAAGCAGCCTGGCATCAAGCAGCAGCCTGTCAGACAGCGGCAAGCTAGGTCCTGACGTTCGCACCAAGATCACTGACAAAACAAAGCACAGCCAACAGGGCAGCGCCGCAGCCGAGTACAAACCCAGGCCCTTCATGGGCATAACCGACAAGACGGCCCGCTTTCAGCAGCAGCAGCAGCAGCAGATTCAACAGCAGCAGCACCACGGCTTGCAGAGTCACCCGAGCCTGCAGTCTATCGGTCGCAGCTGGCTGAACCACTCCTCCGACGGCCTCGTGTGTCACAACATGTCGACAATGGGCCTGCAGTCTGTCGACGGCAAAACGGCGGGCTCATACCAGGAGCAGCACAAACCTCCACCACCTCAGGGTGGTATGGCGATGAGTAGCTTACAAAATGGCATGCATGCCAAGGAATTTGCAGAGAAGTTCTGCCAAGCTGCCAACTGTTACAAAGAGTCCAAGCCAGCACTGGCTATGCCACACACGTTAATGGACAGTAAGCCTAAGCAGCCTGGCCTAGCTCGAGATAATCCTGCCATTCACGTAGCTTCAATGAAACCAAAGCGATCATTTATAGAGTCGAATGTGTAGACACGCGTCTTTTATCTCTCTTACAGTCCTTAACGCACACGCGCACAGACACAAGGAAAAATCGAAAGTGAGAGGGACTTGTTTCATATTTTTTAACCAACCCCAGAGTGCAGTCTGACGTTGAGTCTTATAAGGAGTACAGTTTGCAAGCTGTTTGTTTTCCCGGGAATTCAGGCACCAAGCAGCGTGCAGAAGGCTCCAAATTTTTACTCGTTCCAATCTGCCGCTTCTGGCTGTCAGCTTTTGTTACATGACATGTCCGTCGTCGTTCAGCCAGGCTGGAGACAAAGCACTGAAGGAAGTATCCAGACATGTACTCTACAGTCCTGATCAACAAAACGGTGGCAATGAGCACTTTACACAGTTAGCAAGTGCTTAAACAACATATTCAGTTTCAGCTTAATGTTATTACAGAATAATTCATTTACGTCCATGGTGCTGAGAGCAAAGAAATTCGGTCTCTTTAAAAATGATTGAGAACCCTTTGTTTTCTGCACACTTTGCTGCAATTGCTTTTAATTCAATTTGAATAAAATTGTCATTTTACACTCAGTAGCCCAAAAATGATAAAGTGCAAACACATTTGCTGAGTTCTTTGTAATTTCATTGAAAATCAGACACCGAAGCCTCTCATTCATCTGTTTAAATTTGCAAAAGAGCAAAGTGTGCACAAAATAAATGGATGTGAAGGAAGACGTAGTCCCCGGTGAAACGTTCAGAGGGTTTAAGGGACGGGCATTCCTGTGTTTTACGAAGGACGTTATAGATCCTCATGTTGTGTATATTATATAAATATGTACTTTTCCTTCTTTTCAGTGAAGGTCCATGTTAAGTGTATTGACAAGTTCCGACTTGTGTATCTCGAGTTTTAGGCACAATGTTGTTCAAATGGTGTTAAAGGTTCTAAAACAAAAAAGCATTTGTTAAATATGTTTGTACATTATATAAAATCACCATTAACACTGAATTGAATTCCTTTCTGTATCTGCTTGTTGTTGCTGTCTAGTTTAATTTATTTACAGCGCCAATGGCTTGGTTAATTGTAAAAGCAATATATTTTATATAGTTATTTTTGCACAGCTACTAAGACATTTTATGATTCTCAGTGTTGAGATTTAAGTGCATGCTTCAATTGCAGTTTATATTACAGAGTGGAAAAAAGTCTATAAAAGCAGGAAAATGGTTTGGGGACTCAGTGCCATCAGTTCTATTTTATTATGTACATTAAATGCAATTGTTGCCATGTTTTCAGTATTGTGAGCTTTATTAGCTGTGATCACATACTGTAATTGAACATTTTTGCCATAGCTACCATGGGAGAGAGAAATAAAGACCCACTGAGGAAACAAAATTGCTCTGTTCACTTTTATGCTTTGGGCTGATTTGGTGAAGCATCTGTCATAAAGATCTACAGGAGTGTAAACATAACTCTACCATGTGGTCACAGTTGAAAGCAGTTCAGCAGCTCGACTTGTCCTGGTTGCACTATACAGGCCATTTTCCACATACATTAGCCAAAAAATTAAACGCTACTAGAGCCAGTGAGACTATTTCCATAGAAGCTGAAGATTTTTCCTCTTCTGAATTTCTGCAGTATTTGCTTTAGAAGCTCCACACTTTATCAGCCTAATCAAAAACTGAAGCTGCACACGGGAAATAAGCCAGTGTACGGTGTTGTATGACGATACTGAATTTAAAGATAACGTATAGAAGACGGTTGCAAAAAAAGATTCTTCAGGACGGTAAGTTTCTTCTTCTTCATGCATTCTTTTATTGCAGCATGTAAGATTTTAGCAGTGCTCTAATTGGAAGCTACTGTACACAAATGGTAATTGAACATTCATATATTCCTTTCAAAGTATTTCTTTTTATATGTGGAGTACATTTAGTGAAATATCTCTGAAAGGCAATGTATTTAAATGGAGCTAGGATTAGCTTAGCTTTACCTGTAATGTGTCAGTGTCCATCAAGTGTTTCATAGATGCGTGCGTAGGACTGGTGTATGTAATGTTAGAATAAAGAACTTTTAAAAGACAGGATGGGAACCTAACTAGAAAAAAATTGCCGGTTTCCCAGTGATGGTCTTAAATTGTGCCGATTGCAAGCAACTGGCAACCAGCCGGTCACCCAGAGTTTGAGAGTGTTGCATGCTTAACTTGAGTGACCAAGGCGATCGCACAGGTTTCCTGGTGGGAGACCAATTATCTCCAAACAATTATGGTCTGACTCAGACTGATTGCAATCGCTTCAGACAGACTGGCAAAAGTTTGCAAATAACTGCAGTCTAATTTATAAATGCAGACAGATTGCCAACACTCAGTTGCTTGTAATCTGGTTATTTTCCTATGTGATAGCAAGGTGAGTGTCATTTTGCAGTAAATCACCATCCTGAAACAGCTAAGTCAATATTTGTGCAGGAATTCCTGTTTTAGCTCAATTAGGTTCTCGTTGGACTTTAAACCGTTCATATGAGTTTCTTGTCCATGTAGAGGGCAAAAGATTGATCATTTTTGCTGATTTATCACACTTGTGATCAC